TTAAATCAAACACTTCGTGCCGAAGATCGATCTAAAGCTCGTCCATGGTTTGGATATTTAAAACTTTTGCATTCTGCGACGTCCAAATTACCAAAGTATAAAGGCATTGTCTATCGTGGAATTGATAAAGATGTTAGTATGGCATTCAAGAAAGGTCAACGGATCACTTGGTGGAGTGTGAGTTCATGTTCAGCATCTGTTGATGTTATTTCCTCATTTTTTAACAAAGCTCGTCAGAGTACATTATTTAATATAGAATGTTCGTCTGGAAAATCAATTTCAGGGTACACATGTTATCCAAAAGAAGATGAGGTTATTTTAATGCCTGGTACAGTGTTTGAAGTTGTAGCACATCCATTACATCATCATGGTGGATTACATATTATACATTTGAAAGAAATTGCTGACGACGATGATGATAACAGCAGTGATAATGAAAAACAAGGAACGTATGGACCAACAACTGCATTCGTACCACAGAAAATCAGCAAAATAAGATCAGGTAAACTAGTTGATTCAAGTATGATAACATGATAGACAAAGTTTTCGAAAGCGCTCAGATAGAACATTCTCACAATTCTTACGGGCAAACTGACGTTAGACAACTAATCACAAGTCCAGTTTCGCTTCGTTTTTTTCTTTATCTGAGTTGCACGAAACTAAAATTTATGTCTCGGTTATCACAAATAATTTGAAGTGCGTATTTCTCTACGACACTCTTTTGTTTGTCCATTAAATAAAGCATGAAAAATTCAGAAGGATCGCTATTTTATTCGAATCGGATCAGTTCTTATTGGAAACAATCCAACAGTTTATTCATTTTTTCTTAGTGTATCGTAGCATTTTGCTCGTTTTTTTGAAAGAAACGATCAGAGATCTTATCGAGATAGTATTAGAATATGGTGTACTATGCGTTACAGAAATAGTCATAATATACTTTAATGGTGCTCTATGCAACTTGAGATTACACATCGCTCAACAAGTTAAACATCGAGAAGTTATTACGACTAAATTTTCAGATATATGAAGTCATTGTTAGTCTTAATTTGGCAATAAGACTGCAAAAGTCTATACTCTCGTAAGATAGCTCTCGAAATAAACCTCAATCAGCTACTCCAAACATCAATAGAGTCAAGAAATAGTTCAATTAGGTAGCTTATAACTGGTCTTATTACAAAAGACTTCGCGTTTTCCATTATGTTCTAGCGTACAAATCTTCGAAAGAAAGTAAAAGTGTTATTCTAGTAAGTTTATTTTAAAGCATTGCGTACGATTTTCTATTTGTTTCAATCTATCATATCGAACCAGACTGTTCGTTTATCGTTACTAATTGCTACATGGCTATGAAATGAGATCGTCACGTTTTTTTTCTCCATTCAGATTCTGACAAGCCAACTCATTTTGCAACCAATGCCCCGACTGTGCCGAAGAATACAATGGCGCCATATAAACCACCATCAAAACCTCAGCCTCAGCCAAGAGCAGGTATGTCTGATTGAATAAGACATTAGTCTTTCATTTTCATTCTATTGTATGTAGTACCAAGAAGACGTTCGGTTCATCGTTTTTTTATTAGTTTCAAAGAAAGATACCGGAGACATTATTGCATATATGCTCAATATGATGAATCTCTAGAGAATCTAAAATTGTGTATCTACTTCATACAATAAAATAACTTACTTCGCATTATAGAGAAAACTCCTGATTATAATGATGACAATCAAACGTGAACCACTTTTAACCTGTTTCTCTCCTATTGTACGCTAATCCCTAGATTGGTCCGAACAAGACTGTTTTATATTCCCTCGACTGTAGAGAGGGTCATATGAAATAAAATAGTGGGACGAAGTGACATTTCTCTATAGTTTTTATAGGATTATTTTAACTTTTATCAGTCATGCAACTTGGTCAGACAAGAAAGAGTGATTGACGTAATACTAGTGTAGATGAAATTAACATATGTATATCACTAGTCGTCTTGGATAAAATTCTAATATATATCAATCTGTGTCGCTGAAATGATGTATGATGAACTGATATTATTGTTGACATTCGAGATAATACTAAATATTATTAATAGTTAGATTTCGGATTTAATATCATCCTCGTTTTAAATAAGCTGAAACGTGATCGAGTGTACTCTGCATAATTTTCTGACTCGCAAACATTTTGATTTAGAATATCACGAATTTAATGATCCTAACAACGACAAGAAACTCGATTGTAGAGGTCGTTCTTGTGCAAAATGTCATATGTATCGTGATTGGCAGTTTGGGGGAGATCACACTACATGGACATGGATCACCAATTGGAAAATCTGGACAGCCAAAGAATGGAATTATTTTAACAATGATGGTACTTGGAAGAATTTCAAGAAACGTGATGATGCAACCTGTGTTTATGGTTTCTATGGTGGTGGTTATGGTTATTATGGTGGTCGTGGTGATGATGGTAGTGGTTTTTATGGTTCTTTTTATTTTTCTAATCATTTGTGCGTCTGTGAGCGACATTAACACTATACTGAGTACATTGACGGTAGTTTTCGACACTTCATTCATTATATCCGGAAATTAGTTTTGAGGAACAAAAATAAAAATAAAATAATTGGTAGGTCGTGACATCAATGCGCGCGGCCGTTAAAGGACCAGAAGCTTATAACAAATATTACATTATAAATGTTGCTAATGTACGGTGGGTAGTTTTTTCAAAAGTTGATAAAAAATAGGAAAAATAATAATCAATGGGAGTAACTTGTTGTTTAAATGGTTAATACTAGTAGTTGAATGCGTTCCTAATGAATTCTTTCGATGATTTTTTGAACCTATAGAAAATAAGTTATATGTTTGTTTAATTATTCAGCGCCTATATAATTTTAAATCATAACAATGTTTGTAGAGAACATTGAAACAATTTTCCTGTGGAAGAATGGGCAGGATGTTTTTAGACACAAACAAAGATTACTTCATGTTGGTAGTGATTAATGTCTTTCTTCAAAAGTGTGTTATGAAAAGTATAAACCACTGGAAAAACCCATCTCAGTCTTGTGTTTTATTTTTACAATAGTAATATCGCCAAGAGTGTTAGGATTTTCATTTGTCTCAATAGTAACATTGTTTGTACTATAAATAAATAAATCGATGGCTTGTGGATGAGTCGAAAGCTCTAGTTAAGTATTGATTTACTTATAAAAGAACTAGTCTCACTACGTCTATAATTATTAAATAAATTCAATTCTTTTCCATCTTTGTTTTGTTTATTTATTTATCTATAAAGGTAGAATAACTGACACATCAAATTCATAACATGAGAATATGTTACAAAAAGATGTAAGAATTTTTGTAAGAAGCGACGTTTTTGGAAGATAGAATTGTTTGTATTTTAAGTACACTATAAATAGCGCTAATTTAACTAGACAGCAACACGATTTTCTTAGAATTACATCGGCGCTATTTGAATGCAGAAACAAGTATCACATTGTTTATCAAATTTGACTACTCTTAATTACAATTCTATGTTTATATTAACTTTTTAATCGTTAAATGGTGACCTACTGATTCTATAAAATAGATATTAATACAAAATATTTTCAGTTAGTTTTGTTACCGCTATTTTTAATGCCAAAATATTAATATCATATTATCCGAATAATATTGTTTCAGACAATGATAATCATACGTTTGAAATAGTGTCTTGCGAACCGGACGAGTACCCGATACCCGACTCGCACCGGGGTACCAGGTAAGAGTGCATACCCGGACCCGAACCGGTAACTAGTAACATCACCGAATTTCTAATATTTTATTCTAGTACTATTACTAATATGAGAAAAGGAGTCTAAATAAGTCTGATAATGATTAAGTCATCTCTTTCACTCCCTTAAGTCAATTTTGACATCGCGAACTTGAAACTGTTATAATCCTGTCTATCCTACACATTCTGGCTCCGGTGGACGGACTCCTAAACACGCGTTTTTTCTATAGGATTTTGAAATTTTTCACCGATTTTTGAATTGTTTCATCAAGAAAATTATCTCGATCCAACTTCAATTAACAGTAGATCGATAGAACTTTTCATGTTCTATAATTTTCACATAACAATGAGCGCTTGAATTCAAGGTGAATATAATAATCGAAAGTCTCACTAGTTATTTCTAACTAAATTGAGATTCTCGATAGATGTTTCATAAACTAACTCCACCTATACATCATTTCTTGGAATCTATGCATCGGTCAAGAACTACCGAAGAGATTTTGGATTCAAATATTCAGTTTAAATTTCTGGTAGAATCCGTTTTATTGAAAAACTGAGGATTGAAACGTGTTTTTGATACTGTTTATTCGCTCTACCTGTATACTGAATGTAAAAAAAAAGATACGATACTCTATTTATCCTTTGTCAGAATTATTTTGGTTTTTATACTGCGCACTTGGTATTTTCTTTTTATGGGTTGTGTGTTCTCTTATCATTCAAAGGGTTTTTTCCTTCATATTGTTATCTTGGATATCTCCACCTTTTGTTTTTTAATCGACCAATACTATTTATATACAAGCTATATTTTATCAAATTTAAATTACAACATGAAGCTGGAATTATTAGCAAACGAAATATTATTGAATGTGTTCGAATTTCTTCAAGGTGTTGATCTTCTTCGTACATTTCATCGTCTCAATGCTCGCTTTGATAATCTTCTTTTCATTCATTTTCGATCCAATTATCTGAATTTTAAATCAGTTTCAAAAACAGATTTTGATATTGTTTGTCAACAACATCTTCCATTAATTTTCGATCGTATAATAGCACTTCGGTTATCCGAAAACGATGAAACTCCACAACAAACACGTTGTTTTTTTGCTTATAATATAACTCTGGGTCAATTTACTCATTTGCAATCACTATCATTGTATTATATTTGTGACAATGTAATAATGGACATTATGATGAATACATTGTGCCAAATGACATCTCTTATTCATTTGGATATACACATATGTCCTTTTCATTTTTCATATATCAACAATATTTGGAGTCTTCCTAGATTGGTGCGCTTTGGAATATTGACAATTCTACATCAAATCAGTTGGACTAATGTACCGACGATAAAATCATTATCCCTCCAACATTTGTCTATTCAAGCTGATCCTGACTACGATTTTTCTTTAGAACGTATCCTCAAATATACACCTCATCTTCGAAGTTTTCGAACGCATCTTGACCGAGACTACCATTCACATAAACAATTATCATATGATGCTTTATCGATCGAATCTTTGCACTTGTCGTCGGATTATTCACACAATACATTGCAACAGCTTTTGAAACATGTACCGAATTTGACTAAACTAATAGTTCAAACTGATGGTAAGTATTTAGATGGACATATATGGGAAAAAATAATGACCGATTATTTACCTAAGCTTAAAATATTTCGATTAAATATGACGTTTGATAAGCGAGCCCAGATTGATGCTGAGCAACTAGTTGATGAAATTCTCGATACATTTCGTACTAATTTTTGGATTAACGAACATAAATGGTTTGTCCAATGTTGCTGGAAATTATGGCGAAACGAAAATTTATTTTATCTTTACACATTACCCCATACATTTTCAATGTCTACCCTTGACGATAAATGGCAATTTAAATCAACAAATCCTCAAGACATTTCGTACGTTCATCCTCAATCGACATGTGTTCTTTCTTTTCGCTGCTCGGACATACGTCAGCTTCATGTTTCTTTACCCCTCCAAGACAAATTGTGGCCTGTAATATCATCATTTGATCGATTGTCTTCTATTAGTGTTCAATCCTTCAACGATATTTTCTATATGTCTCAATTACAAGCCTTGATAGACAAAGCACCTCGCCTATATTCATTGGCTTTTTCCGGAAAGTCATCACCAGATATAGCGAAATTAACAAGTAAATCAATTCGTCGACTTGATTTAAGCGACATCGAGACTTATTTCAATAAACCGGCATGTATCAGCCTATGTCATTCATCATTGGGTATTCAGTGTGAAGTTCTTTTAATCCAAACGAACGATCGACAAAACATTCCCTATCTTGTCAAAAAAATGAAAAATCTTCGAGCATTATGTGTTAAGTGTAATGATAAAGCAACAAGATGTAATCTATCCAGTTGGTTACGACAACGTCTACCACTGAATTGTTCTATTTCAGACGAAGCAAACTTTGCTCCTAGTGTTCGGGTTCAATTATGGATTCGATAATACAAAACATCATTGTTTATTTAAATAAAAAGAACTTTTGAAAATATATTCCTAATTGGGAATGCTAAGTTCAGAAGGGTGTGGGTGTAGATGAATGTGAGTATCTTTTTAATCCTCACACCCACATCCTAACTATGTAAGAGCAAATCTCGTACGACAAATGTTGACAAAAAAAATATTTGAAAAATCATCAATTTAATTTTTAAATAAAAATCATGTTCTACTCTCGACAACATCGTATGTTTTCTTGATTATTTTTCTTGAAAATAATGAATTGTTTATAGTTTTTCAATGTTGACGAACAGTATTAAGAAATCGAACATACACCAAGACCAGTAATTTGTAGTTGTGGAGCTTGTTGAGTAATTCGTGTTGCTACATCATCAGGTATTTTACTAAACTGAAGTTTAACAGTCGTCACGGTTTTATTAGTTTTTAATGTATCAACTAGTTCCAATGCACCTTTTTCTGTAATTTGATTCCATTTAATAGCTAATTTTCTTAATGTAGAATTGTATTTAAGTGCATTTGCTATTACTGTAATATCCTTATCACCAATATTATTATCACCAATATCAATTTCTGTAAGTCCACGATTCATTTGCAGCATTCGTGCAACATATTGAATTCCTTTTGAAGACATATTCGTCTGATAAATATCAAGTTTATTCAATGTTTGACTAACCATCAATGCTTCACAAATAATTTTTATTCCATCATCATAAAGTTTATTTCGACAAACATCGAGACACGTTAATGTTGTATTAGATTTCAACATTTCAGCAATAGCTTGACATCCGGCAAATGTAATTTCACTACGACGAAAACTTAATTCTTTTAAATGATGATTGTCAATTAATGCATGAGTGACTGCCGTACATTGAGCATTATTCATATCACCGGAGAGACAAAGGCTAGTTAGTGTTGTATTATCGTGTAGAATATCCACAAGAAATTCAATAATATCATGACAACCAGAAGAAATTTGTAATTTTTTTACATACTTATTTTCGTGTAAACCAAAAATGATTAGTTTCATATCATTTGATGATACTTTTTTATTGTCTATTTCTAAAGTTGTCTGAGAAAGTAAATCTGTTAAGAGTATTGATTTGATTTCCGAACCATTTGTAATTGTTATCGTTTTCTTAGCGGGTAAAGTTGTTTGTGCTATTGCACGAGACTTCATCAAGGATTTCTCATCACAATGAGCACTTGTGTTTGACATCGTGCTTTGAAGTAAATCTCTTGTTAATTTTGTTTTAAGACAAATAATATCTGAATCTTCGAGCAAAAGTTCACTAACTATCGTATCTTGTTCGTCGAAAATATGAATTGGTACACCATTTGAATGAAGAAATTGTTCATTTTCTGATAGATCAGATAATCGTTGAGTTAAGAGTGTTCGTAATTCGGCAACTGTTAATGAACAATCGATATGCAATGTTAGTTCATTTACACCATTTCGATTTATAATATACTTAGGTAATACTGGTGTTGTTTTTTGAAAGTAATTTGCAATACCAAAAAAATTCATAGAAATATGTGTTTTCCGTATTGATAATCGATTTGGATTGCTGAAATTTGATTTGATTGCAAAACGGAAAAGTAGGAAGATATTTATCTGTGTTTACATATTGACAGTTTATTATCCAAAATATACCAATATTTTTCTATTAAAAAGCAGAATAGAAAGATAACGAAGAAAATCTTATAGCGAAGGATCTCAATAGATGTCTGTAGCAAACGATGGAGGATGAGAAAATGTTAAAAATATGTTTATTATAATCTACTTTGACTCCAGTGTCGAATTAAACTGGATCAAGCTGGAAGTTGTGTTTGAATATTTTTTAATTAACAAATAATATTCAAAGGAAGACAATAGTGTCATTTTATTTTCGTCTTTTCTTCTATATCTATAAATATGCATCGTGAAATCGATTGACAATAAATATTAACGAAGAAAAGAGAGATCGAATCAGTAATGTATAAGTTAGTGTCAATAAATAGTACAAGAATTACAAACCTCAAGTATGAGTAGTTGCTCTCCTTCAATCATTGATTTTATGCGCAGTATTATTATAACTCAAGAATATCTTCTAGAGAGAAAAAGAAATAACTACTAAACCTGAATTATTTTTTAATCAGTTTATGAAACTATCTTAAGCCTATAAGCCCTGAGTTTTTTCCATCAAATTAAATACATATGGCTCGGACACAATGAAAAAAGGCGCCTAATAATAAGATAATTAAAATAATTTTATTACAAACAATATCCCTTCTATAATTAAGACACAACGTTTTGATGACACAACAAAAAACAATCTTCCACATAAAGACAAACATGACAAAAGGTACATATTACATTTGGTCTTTTCTCTTTTTCTTTAGTACTACAATAGACGCATCGACGATAAGTTAAAATAACTTCTGGCATATGTGTCAAAAGTTGTGCTTTGCCAGAACTCTCAGTACCACTGATACTATTTTCAATGAGCATCTTCTTATGTTTATACTCATCATTACAAGTCTCCCTTCTCTTTCTCTGCCGCAACAATTACCTATAAGCGCAGTACTGACAAACGACACGTATTCGAATGCACTAATATTAGAACGAGAGAATTGTTTATAATAAAATAAATTTACTAAAGACATATTCAAGAAAAGAAAACATGAAACGATCAATCAATGAGATCTCCTAAATCGTTCATTGGCAAAACACATTTATTGAAAAAAATGAACAGAAAGAAAGAAAAAGATAAAAGAAAAGAATGAAGCTATCATTCAAAATATTAATATCTTTATTTAAATATAAATGAACAAAGACTGAAACACTCATGAAACCCTATGAATTACCTAAAATAGCATTTAATTTTTTACACATTTTCAAGGTACATATTTCTCTTTAAATATAAAGGCATCTCATTCATTATTTATTATAATTATGTATTTCAAAACGGCATAAAGATTTCTTTATATTTATCAAAAATTTATTTGATTCAGAAAAGGGTGTGGGTGTGGGTATTCTTCTCATCCCACGTCCACCTGCACCTTCACCCGCACACACCTCACACCCTCAAGATCATGATCATAAATATCAAATTGAAATATTTGAATAATTGACATTTTATTTCGATTTATTATAGAATATAATTAGGTTTAATTGAATAGACGACATAATAACAACATTAAAGAGGAAGATAGAATGAGTATTGGAAATGACAAACAATATTTTAGAGTCAAAGTTGACAACGCTAACTATTGAAATTAGTTACAACAAACAAAAAAAGAGAAATTTGAGTTTTTAATTGATGATTCAAAACAAATAAGCATCATATGCTGCTCGATATTAATATTACCTTTATATCAAGACATTCATTGATGTTGTTAAGTGATTGATCATGAAGTTATGGAATGTTTTTGTTACGTCGAGGTAAAACTCGTGAATTATTCTGTATACAGCAGTGTAACAGCCAGATACCTACAGGATATTGAATTGGGAACATTATTTTGCTAAATACAAGAATTGTCTTGTTGCAGTAATAGTCCGAATATATAAATGATTGAACAAGCCAAATATGACCAAGGAAAAACCAGAAGATAAGAAAAGCCGTTATTATTTGGGCTAAACTTATTAAATACCGTTTGAAAACACGTTCATCATATGGTAAATGTGCCATAATGAATGGTGTCCAACTAAAGAAATATTATACAAGTAACATTAATCTGGGAACTCACTCCCTCAACTCTTTTTTGTAGAAATCGTATTTAAAACTATTCCCAACATATACATTTACACAATTCCGAAAAAAACTGACGTCAGATTTGATTTCCTCGAGTTCGATAATTCTTACAGAAAATGATCTTTTGTCTCAAAAAATAGTGAAGATCGATAAACAGAAAAACTTTGTAAATACGATAAAGAGACGATCTATTCAGATTAGTATAGAATATAATCTACTTACGGAAAAACCATTGCACATATATGTAATAAAATAACAAAAAGGCCACATGTTCCTTGGACAAGAAAAAAGATGCCTAGGGTGCTTGATGTACAGTAGCTTCTTTGTTCTCCAACACCAAATCCCATGCAAATATTGCAAATTATAAACAAGAACAAAAGTTGAAAATTGAATGAATAGTACAAATGTTTGAATATATTTGATTTGATTTGAAAAACTTCCTTTGAATTCGTGATTAAATCAATTAATGTCCATGGAAAATTAAGATTGTTTGGTCTTGTCCATTCATCATTGGAGACATCGTTTTCAGATATAAATGTTTCTGTCTCATTTTGATTAGGCACTTCGATTGTTTTTTCCATTTGTTGTTCTTCGTCTTTCATATTTAATTCTACAGTACAATTAGACATAATATTAATGAAAAAGTACGAAAATCGATAGAGAATGGTGTGACAAAAATGATGATGTAATCAGAAAAAAAATTCTTTTTTTTCTTTTACGACAAGCTTATTTTTGATACGAGAGAAAATAAAACTCATGTGATGTATGTTTGTCGTCTTATGTTGATTCTAAGAGACATTTCCGTCTTCTTTTTCTCTTTCTCTTCATTTTGCATGCTTGAGTTATTCGCTGTTTTCTTATTCTTTTTTAATTGACGTATTTTTTTTTCCTCAAAATTATCGTTATGATAAAAAAAACTAGACTAAGATCATCGTAGACGTTATTTTATAAAAAAAATAAACTTAAAACAATAATTCTTATTTTATATTAATAATAAAAATAAAATTCTTTACCTCGTATAATGATTGTCATATTGATTATTTTATATGCTTGCTATTTGATAAAATAATTGAAATTTTTGCTGTCGTCTATTCCGTTGCAAGTCGCGTTCTGTTCACTTTACATACTGACATAGATAGACAGAGGATAAAAGTTTTTTTTCTAACGCGCTCGAGACTTCTTTAGTATTTAGAAAAATCTTCTTTTTAACGTTCTACGAATAATCATTGGCTGGCTTTAAACTGTTAAAGCTTCTAAGAATTTTTTTCTTTTTTTCATTATCTCGTCTTCTTTGCTCATAATACAGCATATGGTAGTTCATACTCATTGTCTCGTCGAATTGATATAATGAAATTTTTCGACGATAAAAATAATAAAAAGTATTTTACTTAGGGCATTCCAAAAGGCATTAATATTAGAACGGAGAAATTGTTTCTAATAAATAAATGAATTTACTAAAGACATATTCAAGAAATGTAAAAATATTCTCATCCAGTTTCTGTTTGACTTTCGATCAATCGATACTTCCCATGTATTTGTTATACTGAGTTAACAATGAAGGACAAGAAACTTGCTTTTTATTTCCATCTTTACGATTTTATTACGGACACTCCATTCGATGATAGGTAGTAATAATCTATTCTTACGAGATCTTTCTTCTTCTTCAGTTCACTCAATTAATGTCATGACTACATGTTATTCTAACGATACTTGTCTTTTTGAATCTTTGCCGGTGTAGATTCCATAGTTATATACATAACCTATAGTCGATTCTACCAAAACCCATATTTTGTATTCTTTATTTGTTGACTTCGATGGCTGATATTGTTTTATAGAAGATCTCCTTTTGAATTTTATCATCGGTTCATCTATCGAAATATACGAACCGAGAGAGTAATTTTATTGAAAATTTCTTTTCAAAAGACATTGTTAATAGAATCTTTTGCAGCTGTTTTGATATTATCTGCAAGATGTATATTAGAAAATAGTCCATAGAAGGACATGTTTAATGTTCAAAAGATTAGAAAATAAAGATATTTTTTATTTTGGAGCTGGAAAAAAACAATTATATCCAATAAATATGAGCCGAAAGAAAAGAAAGCATGAAACAATCAGTCAATGAGATCTTCTAAATCGTTCATTAACAGAACAGATTTATTGGAATAATGATGAAGAATTGTTGCCACTCAAAAATGAACAGAAAAAAAAGAAAAAGATAAAAGAATGAAAGTATCATTCAAATATAAATGAATAAACCATGAAATAATATGAACTACGTCAAATAGCATCGCATTTTTTACAAATTTTCGAGATACATATTTCTCTTTAAATATAAACGCATCTCATTCGTTATGTATCATCATTATGTATTTCAAAATAGCGTAAAGATTTATTAAAAATTTAATTGAGTCAGAAAAACTTCTTCGTGATTATGAAATAAGACTTATTAATCAAAGAAATGGTTTATGGTGGTAAAAAAGATAGCGCAGAATCTTAATATTTTTTTTATTTTCAATGTCGATTAAAAACTATTTTAATTCTTGTTCTTATGATCATCAACATCATCATTTTCTTTCTTCTATTCATTTTAATAATTGTCCACGTTGTTCAATATATTCGTTTATGCATACTTTGGCCGTATTCAATGAATTTATTTTTAAATAAATCTTTAATAGTTCTCCTTTTTCTTTCAATCATTTTTATCTTGAAGAGATATTTTCGGCAACTTCTCTTATCGATCTTTTCAATGTCAATGGAATGATCGAGAAAAAAGCAAAGATATTTTAAATAAAAT